AGCATCACCCGCCCCCCACCCCTAAACCACCCAAAATCGGGGTTCAGCCCCTGCAGGGGTCAAGGGTCAGCCCCTGGAACCTCCAGATTTGGGTTTTTTTGGGGGCAAAGTACAAGCAGGGAGGAAGAAAATCCACATTTCTGCTGGAATAACCTGGGTGGTTGGGTCAGGGAAGGTCAACGTAGTCTTGACCTTCAGCTTCCAATCACAGCTTCCTCATATTAATGAGGAATATGCAAATGTTGGGTTTGTGATTAATACAAATAGATATGGGGAAGAAAACAAAATAAACCACCCCGATATATATCTACCTTCGCTTCAATTCCACTCATGGAAGGGGTTGGGTTGGAAGAGACCTTTAAAGGTCACCTCGTCCACGAGCAGGGACATCTTCAACCAAATCAAGCTGCTCAGAGCCCTGCTGGTAACACCACGGAAGGGTTTGGGTTGGAAAACACCTTTGAAGACCACCTGGTCCAAGCCCCCTGGAGGGATCAGGGACTTCTCCAACAAGAGCAGGTTCCTCAGAGCCCCATCCAACCTGCCCTGGAATGATTCCAGGGATGGGGGTTCAACTACCTCTCTGGGCCACCTTGTCCTGCTCCCTCTGGATGATTTTCTTTCTTTAGACTTAAAATCTGAGCAGGACAACCCTTCAACCCCCAGTTCTGATGTTCTCCAGCCCACTAGCAGCTGGAGATAATAAAGAGGAGAAGATGAGCTCAGGTAGCACCTTCACGTTTTATTTCCAGTGGGCTCAGAATGATCTGGGAGGTTTCACACTGGCCAGATTTCCATTATTTGGGACAGATTTATCCTTCAGCGATGTGTGGGGAGATACACCCCAAAACCTGGGGTGGGGGGAAAGCATTTCTTCACCAATTTAGCAACATAAAGATGTTTTCTTATGGATTCCCTCCACTTCTGGCCTCTTTGGGCTTGGATGTCACCTCTGCACGAGTCAGGCCACGCTCTAAGGTGACTTTTGATTGAGCATCTTCACAACCAAGGGCCACAAGCTGGTGTGGAACCAACTGAAGGTGTTTAGGGCAACACTGGGAGAGGACAACAGCATCTTCATCTTCATTTCATTCTGCTGCCGTGACAGGGATGAACTGCAGAGAAGGTTAAACCCCAAAAAAACCATCAGAAAGGCAACAAACTGTTGGCCTTGGCGTCCATCAGGGTCTTGCCAGTAGGTTTGAGCACCTATGAAGACCAGCTATGCCCAAGAAACGCCATCTTCTCACCTTAAAACCAGCCAGAAGACCTTGTTCTTCCTTTCAAAGAGCTTCCCACCTCACCCCAGGTCTCCTTCCAAACAAAAGGATTACCAGATTTTCCAGAACCTGCTAAAAACAACACCCCAAACCCAAAACCCACATTTTTTTTTCATCATGCCAGACAATAATATGTGTTTTTTTTTCTCAAGGCCACTTTGTTTTGGCAAAAGCAACAGCAGAGGAAGCAAAGCTGCATCTTCAACGTTCTCTTGGCAGAAACAGAGGATTCCCAGGAAAAAAAAGGAGGACAGAAGGTGAAGGTGAACGAGTGATTCCGCCAAGAACCGAGCAGTGAGGAGAGCCTGAGGAAAAACAAGTTTTAGCACCCAAATCTGCGTCATCAGAGGCCGAGCAGGACACCCTTGAGTGGTTGTTTTGGAAAACAACGTCTTCTACGTAGAGGGGACCTCAGGGGTGACACAGGAGCACCAAAATTCAGGAAGGTGGGTCCTGCTCACAGCCAGCAGGACAAACGCCCCCAGGCAACACCAGCTCCTGCTGCTTCAGGGTGAACATAAAGCACCTCCCACCCCCAGGAGCCGTGGACAGAGAAGTGGAGCCCAGAGAACTTCCATGAGCTGGTGGAGAGGGCGACCCAAAGCCCACAGTGACTCTTCAGCCCCAGCTCGACCCCAGGACAGGTGACATCTTGGTCGCCTTGTGGTTGAGGTCATCTAGGATGGCTCAGGTGCCATCTCAATGTCACAAAAATAGAAGGCACCACCCGCCCCCAGGAGCCGTGGACAGAGAAGTGGAGCCCAGAGAACTTCCATGAGCTGGTGGAGAGGGCGACCCAAAGCCCACAGTGACTCTTCAGCCCCAGCTCGACCCCAGGACAGGTGACACATCTTGTGGTTGAGGTCACCTAGGATGGCTCAGGTGCCATCTCAATGTCACAAAAATAGCCTTTGGAGTGAAATGCTGACCCCAGATTTTAGGAGTACCCGCTGGAAGAGGTGACCAGGCTCCAACCCTTCGTTGGGATCCTTTCTTCCCAGCAGGAGGAAGAAGGGGAGAAGCCCAAAACTCCAGCTGAGAGCCTTCTAACCACTCAGACAGCCCATCAGGAGGGTGGGGACAACCCCATGGAGCCTCCTGATGTCCCATCACTGCCCACCTCATAAGCCTAATTACCAATGACCTCCTCCTACACCCTGCAGGAGTGAAGGCACCTGGGCAGGGTTTCTACTTCTGGCCCAGAGGGGGTGATTTCAGTTTACTGGGGGCAACGTCATAATAAGACATCAGAAAATCTTGAAATCCACTTCAGGAGGAGCAAAAATTTCTAATTCCATGTCCTGTGATCAAGCAGAAAGGAGCTTTGCCTGTCCCAGCTTTGGGTGGAGGTCCCAAGTGTCCTGCTCAGCGCTCCTCTCTCCACCTTCACCCACAAAACATTTCATTTTTAAGTCATTGACACTTCCAAAGGGGTGGAGGGTCCACCCCAAAGCTTCCCACCACCTCTAATATTGACCTGTAGACCCACAGAAGAAAAACACTCATCCATGATCAAACGTGGAGCCATAAACCCACAACGAGCAGCTTCCTTCTCACTGGAGAGCTTCAGGGATGGATTTCAGGTGGTGGCCACAACCTTCTGGGGACTGCTGGTGGTTTTAAGAGCTGCTCTCTCTGTTAAGCTGGTCTGAAGAACCTCCCTGTGACTTGGGTTGGTTACCCAGCTCTCTGCCCTCCAACAAACCGAGCTGAACAGTTGATTTGAGAGTCTATCATGCTCCTCACTGCTGTCCAGGCACCATCTGGTGAAGACCACGGAGACGAGGTGAAGCCCATGAGAAGCCTCAGGGGCACAGTTTGATGTAGGTCACGGTGGAACAGACTGAAAAGAGAGGGAACACCTTCTCCTGGAAGGCCACGTTGAAGGTGAAGATGTGCTGCATGTTGTCGGCGTCGTAGAAGGAGACTTCTTCTCCTTCATAATCCAGGTAGACCCTGACCTTACTGAGTTTCTGGCTGAGGCACAACGGGGTGCGTTGGGGTGAGGTCACCGCCCAGTAGCGACCTCCGTTCTGCTGCACGGCCCAGATCCCTTCTTCAGGGGAGAACTGGGTCAGCCCTTTCCTCCTGACGGACTCCTTGGCCACCCCGAAGGCCCAACCGTCCGAGGGTCCCACCTCCACCTCCCAGTAGTGTCTTCCCGACTTGAAGCCCGTGGTAGCCAGGACCCGGGAGTTGGTGTCGAATCTCTTGGGGTTGTCGGGCAGCTCCTGTTTCCTACAGCCCATCCTCACGCTCTTGAGGTCTGCAGAGAGGATGAGGAGGTGGTTTGCCGAGTCGGGGTCCAGGGTCAGGTCCTCTGTTGGCGACAGCAGCGACAGCAGCAGTGACTCAGTGAGAACTTTAACAATGAAAAGCCCAAGCTGGGGTTGTGTTTTGTCGGTTGATGAACCACACTCTGACCTCCACCACCACACTCTGACCTCCACCACCACACTCTGACCTCCACCGCCACACTCCGACCTCCATCACCACACCCCGACCTACACCAC